TAGTCGAGTAGTCGCAGCAGCAGCAGCAGCAGCAGCAGGAGGAGGAGGAGGAGGAGGAGGAGGAGTAGTAGTAGTAGTTGTAGTTGTAGTTGTAGTAGTAGTAGTAGTAGGAGGTGGTGCTACGTAGGTACGTTGGTACGTAGGTACGTAACGTGGAATAGTAGTGTAGTAGAGTGGTGGTTGCAGAGTGGAGTAGAGGAGTAGTAGAGTCGTAGAATAGTATTGTATTATAGAGTGATATAATAGCAACATACAGGTTTGTAACAAGACTTGCTGGAGGTTAGGGACATTGAATGGCGACGGCTGTCGGATGGGCCAGGACATATAATATGCGGAGGACCCACCCACACCCACACCCACAACCACCCACCCCAAGCCTCCCACATCATATAAGACAAAGGAAGAAACGCCTTTCCACCATAGCCATGCCTTCGATGCATGATGATGTTCAGGTGTTTACGAATCTCCTCTCCCCAACTCTGCAAATGCTGCTGGTCTCCCAGATCTGCCGGGGCATCAACCGGAGCAACAGCAAACCTGGAAGAAGGAAATTGGAAACAAATGAAATCCAGAGCACGTCTCTCCCCGAAGGGTTGTGTACCCATTCCACTGGTGGCAGAACTGAATGGGACACAGAGAGGATGCGTCCTTACCCACTGCCTTCAGACTAAATTCCAAGGCTTCCTTCTGGAGCTTCTGTTTTCGAAGTCCCGCGCTGAAACAGTGCGCAAAGAATTAATCGAACTGCCAGACGAGCGCACCACTCAAAGGCAAGGGATCCATTGCCGAAAACACATACTAGGTTTCGCATACCGCGCACAGTCAATCATGCGCTTCCTCTCTCTGAGGCATGGCGAGACGGATGTGCAGTGTGAGCTTGACAGGACTTTCAATCTGCGGGGCAACCCGTTCCGCTGAGCTTCTGCACATCCTGTGCCTGTATAGCTACGCGGGAAACGGCCCGACAAGTTGCTGACATGGCATAAGCCAAGCAAGAGAAATCCAGCTACTCGGTCGAGCGTCCAGTGCCATCTCTGCCAATGTCACATCGGATATAGTCTGGGAAGACGAGCACACAACCTTCCTGCGCAGCGGTTTTCGATAATTCTGTGGAATGTGCTTGTCAGAGTAACCATGCCGGTACAGAATCTTGCCATTGCGCGGAATCTGCCTCAGAGGTGCTTGTGGCCTCCACCAAAGAAACCCGCACCTGAGCATCTGAAACCATGTTGCTTACAACTGCCAAACGCAGCCCAGCCTTCGACTTGATCTGTTTTTCTGCCTTGATGGCTTTGCTCAGACGCACTGGCAACGTTCCTTCATGTTGCCCGTCGAAGGGATCTTCCGGCCAGTCAGATGCAAGGCCCCAGAGGAGGAAGACATGCTTGTCGTACGGTTTTACTGATCCCGCCAACGGTTCAGAATTTAGCTCAGGTCGTTCGAAGCCAACGCCGACTTCAGCCATCTAGACACACCAAAGGTGCCACCTTGAGCCAGTCTTGTCTACATCGCAATCAGATTTGGGGCAACATGGGGCAACTGATGCTCAAGGCTCAATGGATGCCTGTGTTCTTCCAGCATAAGTCCCCAGCAAAGCATGCATTGCTAGATGGCTTCACGACAGAAGTTCGAGAGCATCGAGAGAAGCATGCCCTCTTTTGCATCACTGCAGTGAAACCTTCGAACCTTGCCACTCAGGCAAGCTTGAAAAGGCGCCAGTGATTTTCTGACAGCTCTTCCTAACGCTGGTTCTGTCCATGTAGTCTTGACTGCACCGAGCGCGTCTTGTGTGCTTGCCCAAACAAGCAGTAGCACGTTGATGCAACCGTCACGGAGTGTTTCCTCCGTGCTTACCTACACAAGCAACAAAGCGTTAATGCAACCGTCGATGTCAGGATTGTTGGTGACCTGCAGGTGTACACAAGTTGCACAGCAGAAGATCATGCTGTCATGGCCGTGCTTACCCTCGAGAATGGGATCAAAATCGACTGGACTTAAAGCAAAAGCAGCAGACCGAGTGTGATTGTGACACTCGGCGTTACCAGAATTGGGGCGGCCTGTGCATACTTGGCCCATATGACCTGCGGATGGGAGGGTTCAACACTACTCACTGAGTCAGGTAACAACTCGAACCAGAGCATCGGAGCATCCCTGCCTTCCCAGTCTGAGTTACAAGGCCAAGTTCAGAAACATTGACCTGGTGCAGATGCTATGGGAGGACCAGGTTTCAAACCTTCTGTTGCCCTGGCCTCTATGATGGTGCCCTTCGTGATGACCCCAAGAGAGGTGTAAAGAGCAGACTGGCGGGGCCACCGCTAACTCTGTGTATGTTTACGTTTAACATCTTCAGCAAGCGCCTGTGGGTTCTTCTTGACACTCACGATGTCCAGACAGAATGTCATCTTCAGCTCTGGATGAGTCACGTGCGCTTTCTTGAACCTGAACAGGCAGACGTCTTGGAGGCGCCACAACAAGACAAACTCTCGGTCCTCAAAGCCGCCGGGCGGATGTATCTTTCAAACTTCGGAGGCTTTCGCGTGAAGTTCTCGGCAGGAGGCATATGACCGCTGCTACTTGACATCCCTCGAAAAAACCGCAAGTTCGCAAGGAGCACCTCGCCAACAAATGAGACTTTGTTTACGACACGCTTCCATGCCTAGCACAACAAGCCACAGTCTCTGCGGCTGTGAAGTACCTGAAAAAGCCTTCTTCTTCCGCTTCCCCGACCGAAGGATTTTGAACATCTCATCCTCTGTCATGGCTTTCACCTGGCTTCAAGAGCACGGCGCAAACCTCTGCAAGCAGTTTCCAAAGCTCCCGAGCCTTGGGGATCGGCACTTGCCACTTACCTGCCTTCTCCTTTCTTTTCTGCTTGATCATGTTTGAGAGCACCTAGTAGCACTCTCGCATAAGCTGAAGGACAGAGCATCACGATTCCGCCATTGTCACAAGATATCACGTCAACATGACCAGAGAATGATGACTCATAAACCCCGCCGCCGGCCTTCGTTCTCCGCACCTGCTCTCTGTCCAAGAGGTAAGCAGGCACCGCTCCAGGTTTCACCTTGCAGTCATCGAGGCACAGTACTCGAGTCTGCTAACTGCCACGAGAATTTACTGTCACGGACTATGTTGCACAGTCTGCAGTGCTCAGGCTCCTGTACAGTAGATGAACTTCGCGAGCGTTGGCAGCATTGCACTTCGACTATGGCTACTGCCTAGCTGCAGTCCTGTACTGAAACTACACGAAGTCGATTAAGGAAGGTGATCGCCACGACATGGGACAAAGGATCTGCATGACACCAGCGGCTCACGGTGCACATTGAAAGTGCAGCAGCCCGCTTTCGATCTCTCGGCTGCGCAAACGCCGCCTCATCGGCATCTTTTGTTTTTGCATCCTTTTCCTGGTGAGCCTTTATTGTCTTCTTCATGGTAGCCTTTTCAGAGTACCTGGCAGCACAGACTCGTTCAGTGCGCATACAACTCGACACCAACTCTGTGCCTTTTCTTCGTGAAGAGCTTCGCTTTGATTCCTCGAAGCTTTCGAGCCGTCTTTGCGATCTGGCAGAACACACCATGAAGCGAGACAGGGTTTGCTTAGGCCACTTCTACCCGCCCAGCCCCCTCATGTCGCTTGTTGATGCCAATCGCAAAGGGGTCTGCAATCGTCACTCTGCGGGTATCTCCATGTTGTGTTGAGTCACCTACGCACATGCCCTTGCAGGCCTGGCCTTCTTGGGCTCTCGTGCCTTCTTCTTGCGCATGCGCTCTTCATGGTCGAAACGACGCCCGAAGCGCTTGATCGACTCTTTGATGTACCTGGCCAACAGCGGAATCCGGGACCCGGACGCCGGAAATGTCAGCATGCCCCATAGATCATGTAGTTCCGGAACCCGTCGTTTAGGTTAACTGAAGAGAAACCAGTCAAGGCCTTGAACATCACGTCCTTCTGTAAGTCAGCCAATGTAAATGTCCTAGTCCTAGCAGCATTTGCCACTGAAGGTCGTTTCTGACTCACGAAGCATGGTCACAAAGCTACTGGAAGCATGGTGGTCATGCGTCTCGAAGCTCGCCCGGTTGGTCCTTCACACTAGTTAGGCACTAGTTGGGAGCAGTCTGATTTCGTCTCAAAGAGAGCTGCCCTTGCTTTCGTTCATGTGAAAGTCCCTTCTTACTGCCATGCTGGAGCTATTCCTTGGCTTCTGCGTCGCACCCTCCCTTGCTTGCCACTACATCATCTTCCTGCCAGGTTCAGGTTCCGATGTTTCGATCCTGAGCGAGAAAGAACGTGGAAACACGTGGTCCTCTCTTCGTGTGGAGTTTACTGTGAGTTCTGTGCTGAGCGTGGATTTCTAGATCAGCACTTTACTGTTATGGTGCAAACCGAAGACCATCCAGCCATATCCATCATCAAAAATGGGAAGGAAACAGCTTCCTCTGAAGAAAGTCTTGAACATCCTGAAACTGGCTGCGCACTCATTCTGTGGCATTGACCTTCACGGAAGGATGAGTGACGACGTATTGATTGCATTGCATGCCGCGTATGCCGCGTGCCGGGCAGCCTGGAGCCGGGCTCATCGGCTCGCCGCCGAGGGCTCCAAACGCTCTCCTACTCCTCCGTGACTTTTGAGCACGGACGCGCGACGGAAACGCGACGGAAACGACAGGATGCATCAGGATGCGACATACTTGCGACATGCGACCTGCGTCCAAAGTGCCGTTCTCGCCCATTCGGATTCATGTTCTGTCCACGTACAGCTGCACGCAGCTTTGTTTGGCAGCTGCGTGGAAGCCGACAGAAGCGCCGGGGCCCATCAGGTGGGAGAAACGTCCGAAAAGCCACTGCCTCGCAGCGAAACAGTACTGAAGCAGAGAACTTCGCCGAGCTTGGCTCGCACAGGCACCGTCCAAAGGCTCTGAGATGCGGAACTGCAGTTCGCAGTTTTAGGCACTATATACTCGGCTTGCCACGGCTTGCCTTGACTTGAAAGTGCCAACCTGGCGAGCAGTTTGGGGGTGCAAACAAAATTTACTGCTGCTTTGCAGCGAAGTCTGAGCAGCAAACGGCGAAGACGCAGATGTCCTGGTGAGCACAAGTTTGCCGGGCTAGCGGCAAGCTAGGGCAATCTCGAGCAGGACATGTCAGACCGCAAGCATGGCACGTGCCCTGCTCCACCTTGGGTGCATCGCGCACGCTATCCACGAGGGTATCTCCTAGCCCGGAAGCGGTGCGAAACCGAAGGGATTGCAAGAGCGGCACGTTGCAAAAGATTACATCCTAGTCAAAACTATGGACCGGCCTCAGGCCCCCGGGCCAGTGCAGCGCTGTTTTATGATGTGCTCTCGTGTCGCAAGAAGGCCTCTCTCACAGCTTCCGTCGGTCCATGCCTCGCAGTTCCTGCTTTAAGTTTGCGCCTAAGTCCACCAAGACATTGCCATCGAAAAGGAACGCAAGAACAACTTTCATGGTGAGATGACACTGGATGTTGCGGGATGTATCTGAGATATTAATCAGGAAGAGGCACAGTCGTTCACCTCGTCATACAACTCGTCTTTCTCTTGCCGAGCGGGCGCACGAGGGCTCGCAGACGGCAAGGATTTTATGCAGAGTTCGTGCTCCCACCTATCCTGCTTAAGTCACATGTTTATGTTTTACGAAACAACTTCCTATTACCAAGAATGTGAACTCGCAGTGTCCTTGAAGGTCTCGTCTTCAGGTGTGTTGGAGACCAGAGTTGCCGACAGAATGCTGGCATTGCCTAATGCGACTTTCACAAACGCTGTCCATGTTCAATGCCATGAGCAATGAAGAACCTCAGCTAGGATGATTGCTGTCCCTGTCTCTGCCAGGAAGTGAGGTTTGACCTGTCAAGATGGAAACACTGTTGCCAGCACACCCTCGTGCGATCTCTAGTTTTGGCAGAGCTGCTCTCGGTGTCTGAGATGTCATGGTCCGAACACGGGCCTCTTCTCAACGCCTCGACATGTCTGCGACAATGCAGCCATGTCCCTCATGTCTGGCCTTGTTGCAATATGTTCTGTGGTTGAGAGGGCTCAATCTTGAAACAGCCTACCCATACCTTTCTCAACAGACACCCACTTGTGCAAAATTCATGCCTGCGTCATCTTATACACTCTCATCTCTGTCGGGGAACATCTGTAGTACTTGTAATGCAATTTACACATGTCCAACGGACAAGACCGGTGCCACCGACGTCCCTGGCGAGGGCAGTGCCTTTGTCCTGCTGCCGGGTCTGTTGCGTAGAGTTGGACTCGAGTCCCGATCTATTAAATTTCTGTTCGGGCTGGCTGGTCTTGGCCGTCTTAGCCTTGCTTCGCTTTCCTGCGAATGCGAGCTGTGACAAGTCCTGGCCTCTTTACGTGCGAAGAGAATCAGGTCCGGCCTAACTGCACTGTCGCTACACGCCGGCAGCCACAAGGAGCGAATGTGCCAAATTGAGACCGAGGCGCCATTTTCATAGGAATGCTGCCCTCAAGAGAACGAGTGGAGACGTCAGAACAGTAACACTCATAGCTAGAGTGCATGGCACAGAAGTGCCTCGATCGGCAACAGCTGTGGAAGTTGGTGATTCAGCATCTCAAGCATTAGCTTCCTGCGTGGAGGCCAGCACCACTCCAGAACTCACAAACTCCGCTGATGACAATTGTCGAGGCCAACGTGTGCATCCGAACGATGAAACTTCTCTGTCTGTCCTTCTTGGCTCTCTGAACTCTCACGGTTTCACTTGCAACTAAAAAGCAACTCCTGCAGTCCCCGGCACAGAGCGTGCCGTGGTGGTGCTCCCGCGTCTCCATGGCCTGGACTCGCTCCTGAAGTAAAGTGCTCACAGATTCCAGGATGGAAACTAGAAACATGCAATCAGCGGCCGAATGATGAGTCCCTGTGTCACTTTCAGAAGTGAAGGCGGTGCTCAGTCCACCATGGCAATCGGCAAACTGCTGCCTAAGGATGCTCGACTTGTCCGCAGATGTTGCCAGCTGTGTCCTCGCCACCATGGACTGCCGAGAACAACGACGTGATTTCATGCCGACCTGTGTACACTGCACAGACTGCTGGTGGCGGCGGTGGAGGAAAAGACCCGGCCCCGGTCCGGTTCAAAGATCGCTGTAGCGCCATGTCGAACACTAGCGCCAAGCGCAAAAGCACAGCGACTGGAAGTAGCGATGACCAGATAAACCCAAAACCAGCGCTCGACAGCTTGAGAGTTGCTCTCGCTGTGATCTGGGCAAACTGCCTGCAAATATTTGGCCATCACGCCAGTGATGAGAATCCATGAGCACAGGCTGTTTAGCTGCTGTGCGAGGTCCACTTCAACTGGCGATGCGGGAGGCAGGTGCAACGTAGTTCGCCACATCTGCCCACCTCTTGAACGCCCGCACTGTACAAGCTTCATGCTATTATCGATGGCTCGCCCTCAGATTGGAGGGGTCGTGGGGCAGCTCGTCGTGGTTACCTTGCATACACCCAGGGGCGGTGCACGCTTGTTGGCAGGGAAGCAGGAGGGGGAGAGAGGGACAGGGACGGAGGGAGGGGTGGGTGAGGGATCAAAAAAAAATTAAATTAGGATCAAAAAAAATTAAACCACAAAGATCCAAAAAAAATAAAAACAGGATCAAAAAAATAACGCAGTAGGAATGCAAAAAGCTTGGGAAAAATCTAGGGGTTACAGATCAAAAAAAATTAAATCAGGATCAAAAAAATTAAACGGGGATCAGTAATAGTCGTAGTAGTACTGTAGTAGCAGTCCAAGTAGTAGTGGTAGTAGTAGTAGTAGCAGCAGCAGTCGTAGTAGTAGTAGAAGAAGTAGTAGTAGTACATAAGGGGTTTTAGGGTTTATAGGGTTCCGTTAAGGCCGCTAAGGGTTCCTAGAGGGCTTCTATTGGAATTGTGTAAGGGTTCTGGGCTGAGGGTTTAAGGTTTAGGGTTCAGGGCTTCGGGTTTAAGGTCTAGGGGTTAGAGTTTGCTCACATCCGGATCGCGGTGCCTTCGACCCTAAACCCTACACCTACAAGATAGAATGCATTCGTCGACTTTCCGCTCAACTCTAAGTACTTTATTCATTTAATGCCCAAAATATCTAAACCTCGCACAGCTTTTCAGCAAAAAACTCAAATCTTGAAACATTAAAAACAACAAACAGACTCATTCTCATTCCCTCGAACTTGGACTTGCAATTGCAAACCTCTCATGCTCAACGGTTTTGTGCTTTACGGCTTAGTGTTTATAGTTTAGGTGACCCTAAACCCCAAACCCTAAAGTGGAAAAACTCCAAAACCTAAACGCTAAACCCTAAACCCTGAACCCTAAACTCTAAACCGACTAGTAGTTGTACAGCGGTAGCAGTAGTAGAAGTCGTCGTCGTCGTCGTAGTACAAGTCGTGGTAGTAGTAGTAGTAGTAGTAGTAGTAGTCGTCGTCGTCGTCGTTCTTGTCGTTCTTGTTGTTGTTGTTGTAGTGGTCGTCGTCGTCGTAGTAGTAGTAGTCGTAGTAGTCGTAGTAGTAGTAGTAGTAGTAGTAGTAGTAGTGGGAGTAGCAGTAGCAGTATAGCAGCAGCCAGTATAGCCGTATAGCGGCAGCACTACCAGCGGCAGTAGCAGCAGCA